GCTCAGCCCACCAGGGGGCGGGGCTGGCTGGCATGTGGTGCTGGGGGATTGAACAGCGGTCCCTTTGTTTTTGCTAAGCTTGTTCTAAGTAGGTGCTTTAGACCACTGAGCCATCTCACCAGCCCCCCTCTTTTTTTTTCAAGTTTCTACTATTATCTTTGACTTTTAGTATTGAAGGAAAAATTTTTGCATCTATATTTTTCACAATTTCTAGACTTTGCCTAATAATGCATCTCTTCTAAATACTTCTCAGACAAAGTGAAGTAAACTTCTGCTTAGAATCCAGGTCATTTAGGTAGATGATGACTTCTAACCAGAATTACCCTAGAGTAGTAACTTGCGAATTTGATTAGGGACTACAAAGACATACGAACTGAAAGGAAACCACTTATAAAGGTACTTTGCCTTCCTGCCTGCTGGACAGGTCTCTATTTGGCTACACAGGTGTGAACACGGAGAATCCTACAGCTACTAAATCAAGCTGGGCATGCTGACCTCAGAATGCAGGGAGTGGTCAGTGTTAGCACTGCTTTGCCTCCAACTATGCCTGATGTATTGATTATAATCTTCAAGTAGCTGGAGTCCTGAGTAATTTAAGGATTTGGTGACTGCATGTGCTAACTGAGATCAGATATATATATATATTTTAAACTTCTATTTATTTATTTATTTATTTATTTTCCTTTCTTTGCAGCTTGGGCTAAGGGACAGGGCATGTTCCTCCGAGGACTACCACAGGCAGGTTCTGTCAATTCTTGTTCTTCTTCGTAAATGAGACCCTTCTGACAGAATAACTCCTAGTGCGGATGCTTTTATTTCTCTTGACTAAGCTTTTAAATCATGTATAAGTTGTGCTTTAAATTTTCATTTAAATGAAAATTTGATGACCCACCTGGGTGACCCATGTGGGTGATTCATAAATTAGACTATAGTTTTATTGACTTTAATGAAACAGCAAAGCAAGCTTCGCCCAGAAGCCATCCGCCCCCGTGGAATCCCCTTGGATCCTGTGTTTACCAGTAGACAGCCACGGGGGTTCGCTGGATTGTGCTTCCTAAGGCACTGTCCCAGGAGAGGCCCACAGACGGGTGATGGGGATGCTGCCACCTGGTCCCTTACCTTGCACCTCATTTGTTCTGCATGGAGTTCGTCGTGGTGATCCGGCAAAGGCTGAGAAAGCTTCTTTTTGAAACTTTTAAGCTTCTCCAGAGAGTCAGCTACTCCTTTCTCACATGTTTCCCAGTCCTATAATGGAAAAGAAAACAAATAAAATGGATAAATGGATCTCTCTCTCTCTCTCTCTCTCTCTCTCTCTCTCTCTCTCTCTCTCTCTCTCTCCTGCCCATCCTTCTTTTCTTCTGGTAGAAAATGGGAAAAACAAAAATGAAAGAAACACTATTTAGAATGTGAGAGTAAAGTACTTTTTCTTTCTTTCTATTTGCTACAGTGTCTCACTATGCAGCTCGGACTTGTAGTGATCCTCCTATCTCAGCCTCCTTAGCACTGGGGTTACAGGCATGGGCCACCACGCCCGGCTTCAGTGTCTGGCTCTGTATGCAGCCAGCACAGCATATGATACCAGGGATTGACACCCACTTACCAGGCAGACACTTAAACTGCCCAGCTATCTCTCCGGCCCTAAAGTACTCATTTTAATAGCCAAAGAAAGAATAAAAATGATATTTATGAATACTAGGATGGGTCCATAGGGTAGGCAGCATACTTGGGACACAGAAGGAATTGAGTTCAAATTCAATTCTGTTATTCTTTAACTTTGTAGCTAAAATAAGCACATGATCCTCTATGTCTCAGTTTTCCCTATGAAGATGGAAATAAAACAAACTGTATAAATTATTGGATGATTAAAATAGGCAGTACATGTCCAGGCACCAAACACAATACCCAGAGAACACTGTCTATGCAAAAATGTTGCTGGAGTCCAAATCTATGTACAGAGGTGGGAGACCAGCTTAGAACTTCACCTCTTCCTTAGCCTCCCTCCTAAAATGCCTACACTCAGTGCCTACACTTTCTCACAAGAGCTCTGGGGCAATAGGAAAAGAGGAGGTAGAGTCTCCTTCAGGATGAAAAGACACAGGAGTGGTGGAAGGCATCAGAATGTAACAATGTGACCCTGACTGTGATCCTACTTGACATCTAAGCAGCACCAGCAGTCAGGTCTGAGTTGTCACAGGAATGGAAATACTCAAGGGTGACACTCAGTGGCTTCAGTTGCCTTTGTCTGGTCAGTGCCTAGCTTAGCCATGCCTTGTCTAGCACAGAATTCATCCCAAGGAGAAGTGGAAGCAGAAAGCTACTGTGCAGTCATGATAAATATGTATGTAGTATGCACAGTGGGAACAAGTGCCCCCGAGATACAGCAGGGCAGGCAGCACAGAGCACCGCATAGGACGTGCAGGTCTGCACGTGCTCATGAGGAAAGAGCTCAGATCAGCGGTTCCCTTTGGAAACGTGACCCATCAAACTGGTAACACTGGTTACCTCTGGGGAGGGCAGTGTAGCATGGGAGGCAGTATAAAGGAAATTTTATTGCTTATTTTATATAGTCCATTTACTACCTGAATTTATTCTTGTGATACATTGTGTTCCTTTTGAAATTAAACATAAAAATAAAAAAAGAAAGGAACCATAATGGAGATTGGTTCCATACAGCAACTCTATAAACTAACTCATGTCTGATTCGTTGCTGGCACTGAAAATCACAGCTAAACAAGTGTCTCCCATATTTTTCAATGTTGCCTATTTTGTCATAGTGTCCATTCCGGGACTCCACATCCCCAGGTACCCTTTGCACACCATAAATCCCTAAGTTCCAAAGAAAGACAAATAGAAGAACAGCTCACACCACCAAGTAGCTGGTGCAGTGCAAAACTGGGCTGCAATTTCCTCCACAGAGCCTTGTTGTCCCGAAGTCTCCTGTTTGCAGTCTTCTCCCCTGCGCTGCCTTTCTGGTGCAGTAAGCCCACTGGCTCTGTTATCACAGCCACCATTTGTGAAATCTCTCTACTCAAGGTGGCCTTTGTTTCCTAACTGAACTGAGAATTTGGCCCTAAATTCTGATTTCTCTTTAAGCAGCCTTCATAGAATTTCTCAGGGTGCCTGATCACACCCCTCTTCCTAATGAAGAGAAGCAAACAAACAAACGAAAGCCCCCACATGAAAGGCAATGTTTTTCCTGTCATTTGCAGATTTGTTCCCATTCTCCTTCACTGTGTAATACCTGTCTTCCCAAGCTATACTTAGTTTGCCAGTGCTCAGCATATTGAGGATAGACAAAACGATCCTTTCTGATTAAGCTGCGCAATATTCTCAATGGAGTCAGCACATGCCCTGCAATCAGTCAAGAGCTGTTCATTGATCTAACACAGATAAGGCCTGCCACTTCCTTCTGTGACAAGATTAAGAAACGTTAATGAAGCTGGAGAACATGACGTGGAATTACAATGACTATTTTTGGCATGTGTGCTCAAAGCATTAGATTAAGAGCTAAAAATAGATCAGGATTATAGCTGTGGAGAAAGGATACAATAAAATGAGGCTAAAAAATTAATAAAATAAAATAAAACGAGGCTATACAAATATTAAAATTTGGATTTATGCTTCATTAGGTCAAAAACATATTCTAAATAAAATAAACTTTAACAAAAGAAGGCTAAAGATTTCCTTTCCCAAAGATAACTCGGATTGTGAAGCTACGGCCATGTCTTCTTACTGCATGAATTATAAGGAAATAATCCCATGCCATGGTCTGAAAACATCTATTAAAGCTGATGTTTTATACATGAACAGACAGAGAAACAAGACAGAAAAAAAAAGAAAAGAAAAAAGAAAAAGAAAATGATTCAGACATCATGCCTTATTAAGTCTTGGGAATATCTCCAAAAAACACAACACAAAGAAAAATATATGATTAACATGTTTGCCTCAGAGTGAGTTACAACACTTTAAATCCTTTCCTGACAGAAAGAGAAGAAAAAGCCAATCAGGCGTATTATATTACTGGTAAACTGTGCTGTGTACAAATTAATAGTGCATTCTAGATGGTTAGTGGCATTTTTAAGGGTTTCCTACCTGGAAGGTAATATATTATTAAACAAATGCAGTAGCATGAACCCCAATGAATGTGTATACTTAAAGCAACAAAAGCCAAAAGTGTTTCATTAACATTGGTTATGTGTTATCTATGATCCAAACAAGAGACAAACCACAATTAATAGATTCGAACATTGATTTTGAAAGTACATAAAAACTTACCATTTACTGTGTTCACTTTTTGGAATCATAACTTCAATGAAGATAATAACTACCATTATTTAGAGTTTAGCACACATTAATTATCCCACAAAACATAAAGGAGATGCAATTATAGCCACTCGACAAATGTGGAAAGTGACGTTGAGTTAGGTTGCATTAACCGGGTTACTACAGAGATTTCTTCTTTTTTCTCTACAGAAATGTTGACTGAATCCAGGGCCTCATGCTCAGCAAGAGCTCTACCACTGAGTTACATCCCCAGCCCACAATGGCAACTTGGGCTTATCTGAGCTTAGTTAGGACCTATGCCCTCTTTAAAGTGCCCATTTACCTATGCATTATGTGTAGAATTGGACAGTGGGGAGAAAGGCTCCCTGAAGGAAGTGTGGATAAATCTAAATTTCCTAAAATCTTACAGAGTGATCAATGTGCAATTTGTATCCAACCAAGGGTTTTTATATAAATTTTATTGCACGACAACCTGTTTGCATAAACTAAGACCAATTGAGAATATCTTTTAAAGTTGGATCTTCCCTGCTATAAAATACAAGATAGTGATCTTGAAAACCATTTTAAAGCCTTAAGTTAGGGAGTGGAATTTACTCTCTGAATGTCTGCCTCACTTTATAAAGTCATCCCATGGCTAAGACAGTACAGGCTATTAATCAGAATTCATAGCTTGGATAGTCTGATTAGAGTTTAAATTACTTGCTGAAGGATTTTCCTAAAAGATGAAGTGCTAAAACTTGGGAAACTTTGCCAGTCATGCAAGATAGGACAAGGTCTAATAAAACACAGAAGATCAAGATAGTATAGTGCATTACTCAGTGATCTGGCATGATTTGATTCGCCAAAAAACAATGGGAGGAAACAGTGCAGCTATTAAAAAGGCCCTGATAGCTGAACTTACTTTCAACAAGAAGGCCAGCTTTTTCTTTTGCTCCTCCAGATGCAGGCTGGCAGACTTCCACTTCTCTTGGATTTCAGTGAGTTCTGTCTGCAAGGCGGCCTCAGCTGCACTGTCCGCAGAGAGCAGGAGCTGCTTGCCAGCCTCCACGGTCAGGATGTAGCTGCCTTGCTGTCGCAGGAACACCTTTTCCTTGAACTGAAAGAACCAGCTTTTTACTGTTATGCCCTTTCTTTATCATTTCCCTGCTAGCATTTTTAAACAACCCTGTATGTTAGCATGCACAGCTTGTCTTCTCTCATCCTGGAGACATTTCCTGAGCTGAGACTTTGGGCACCACGAATGAGCTCTGTGTACTTAAAGAGTGCACCAGGTAGACTCTTCCCTTCTGCTCTCAAGTGAAATACAATTTCCTGCAATATGAAATCTTCTCTATAACATAAATGGTCAGGGAATGCAGAGGGACACTTGACTCAGCATGGGGGGGGGCACAGGGATGCCTCCTCAAAGTGAGAAAGCTGAGCTGAAAGTCTTGTGAATGCAACCTGATCAAGAAGTGATGGGCAAGACCAGGGGTGGAGGAAAGCACACCTTCCCACAGAAGGGGAGGTGGGCACACTCATTCTACAAGAGAACTTTACAAGGAGAATTCAGGAAACAGGATGTAGTTCCCAGTGGCTGGAGTAGGGGATGCATAGAGGAGAGTGGCTGAAAATGAGGCAAGACCACATTTTGCACCAGAATTTTGGTTTTTATAGTGAAAGCACTTGAGATTCATGGAAGAATACTCAACAAAGAAGTGATGTGTTGACACTGAAGTTTTAGGAAAAAGCACACAGCAGCAGGTAGAAAGTAGAGTGACAGAGGGCATGGCCATGTTAAGATGGAATAGGAAGGTACTATCTATCCAGGCAAACCATCAGGAATTTCTCTCTTAATGTGTTGACCACAGGGATGGAGACTTAAAGCAGATTAGATATGGGGAGAGGTGATGAAGGGGACAGCTCCACAGTGACTGTAGGATTCCTGGACAAATGGACCAATAGCTGGTGACATTATTTACTTGGACTGGGAACATAGAAAAAGAAGTGTTTGGTATAGAGACAGTAGCCTCTGTTAGGGGTCCTTGTATCCGCAACACACATAGAAACAAATCTAAAGGATAGAGGAGTTGGACCTCAGCAGGTGAGTCTGACCACAAATACCAGTTTGCCTCTTCTGTGCTGGCAGAGCATGGAGTTAAGGCTATGTCTGTAGATGAGTTTTCCCAGAGGAGTAGAAAGCTTGGAGGAGAAAAGAATCTGAGAACAATGACTTTTTGAGGAGGTGCAGCCCACAGAATACATTGGCCAGGACTGATAAGAGCACTAGGAGTTTTCTGTCTCACAGGCTGGAGCCCCAGTTCCCAGGCTGGTAAAAGGAAGGGTCAAAGAGCTCGAGGACTAAGTATTTTACCTTCTCTGGAGTGCTTTAGTCACATGTATAAGAGGCTCATGAGTTAAATATATGTTATCAACACAGTCATCTTTCCTTTGTCCATTCGCTTTCCATTCGATGCTGGGCTAGAGCTGCTCTAGGTGTTGGTGTGTGAAGTGATGGAGTCCTTGCAAAAGACTCCAATCCCTCCACTTAATGGAGGCTTTTCAACACAATCACTTTTCTTATCTGGTTGACACTGGATAACAATATTATCCCTAATGTCACTACAGAGTCCTTTGGAAGAACTTAAAGGATGTAGTGGAAATGCAGAGGAGACTGACAACTGTGCGTTTTCTTACCTGTACTTCATCAAAGAGTGTCCTCACTTGCTGCAATGGTACAGGGACACTTCCAAGCCCATTCATGGGTAGATGAGACACTTCCACCAGCCACTTATGCAGCTTTTCTGCCATCTCCCTGTAGCGCTGCCACTGGCGAATCTGGCTGTCAATGATCCCTCGCCTCTGCTGGGCTCTGCGAATCACTCCCTGCCACTGATTACTGAGGAGGGTCAACTTCAGGTTGAACTCATCCCTGGGAAGATATAATTACATGGTGAAGAACTGTCATCCTGGAGGCAGTAACATAATCAGCTAATGTGTACATTTTTGATGATCATGCACATTCCCGAAGAAGTGATCTAAGGCAGATGATTTGAAATACTATGCCAGGTACTGCTCTTGGGTCTACGGCAGGTAACTTTTCAAATTAAACTACTACTGTCAGCAAACAGTGAGTGTTTTCATGCCACAGGGTAAGATGGAAGCAAATCTCTGACAAGATCATTGTCATTGACCCTCTTCCTGGGTACATGGGAGGTATGAAGATGGCGAGGGGAAGAGCTCCAAAGCCTAAGCACACCATAGCGGATCTGTGACAGTGACTTGTGTCCCTGTGACAGGAAAACACATTGGACAAATCTTATTTACAAACTCTGTCTTCAGCTAGAATCAAAGGCACTGGGTACGGACAAACTGTTATGGTCACAAGAATTGTAAGCTGCTTAAGTTGTACATTAAAAAGATCTCTAAAACCAGTGATTTGTAAATGTCTTTATATTTTCTCACAATCAATAGCTCCAATGTTTTAGCAAATTATTCCACATATTAATCTAATTTGTCCCTTCTCCATTTTAGGCCAATTTCTCTTTGTTCTTAGAAAAATGAAAATGATGGTCATCTTGATCTCTCTAAAGGTCATTCCTATATCTAAAAATAAAGAATTTTACTAGAGCATTGTCAATTTCAGGCAAAAGAATCTCAGGATTCTTAAATATCTTCTACCTATCTACTTCTATGTTTTTTACCTTAAAAGTATTTCTATAATTTATTTGCATTTATCACTTATATTTATTTATTATTTAAATTTATTTAGCTAATTAATTTATTTATCATTGTGCCTTACAGTTGGCTCATATAGGTTGTCCAGATGAGTGCCTTTGTAGCTTCCAGTGTTGTCCATAGATTGAATGACTACAGCAACCAATTATTGGCCATCTCAATTGTATTTGTTTCTACTTCTTCAAATATGTTCTCTCTTTTGGGAGCAGTGTCCAATTGAATTGGATTTATTATTCTGGATGTCTATATAATTGATTCTTCTTATCATCTAGGGCCACTGTGAACTTTGACTTTATAACCAGGTGTGCACTTCCAAAAACCTATTTATGACTCAGTTCAAACAAAAAATGTATGTGTAGTGAAAACTAACAATGCCAGTACTAAAAGTAAAACATACTGAGAAAACCTAGAAAAGTTTCCTGTGTTCTTTCATTTTAAAATTAAGCTCTAAAATAACTACATTTTAATAACTTCTGTTTTGGAAAGGAAAGTCTTATCTACCTATTCTCTCTGTGTGTGTCTCTTGTCTCTATCTGTCTGTCTATCTGTCTGTCTGTCTGTGTCTGTGTCTGTGTCTGTGTCTGTCTCTCTCTCTGTCTGTCTCTGTCTCTGTCTCTCTGTCTCTGTCTCTGTCTCTGTCTCTCTCTCTCTCTCTCTCTCTCTCTCTCTCTCTCTCTCCTTTATAATATCATGGTTCATGAATTGTTCACAAACAGAAATATTCCACAAAATTTTACTTCCATTTGCAGACTTCATATTGGGCAATGAACACAGCTGTGTCCATCTTCCCCAGAATTGTGGCATGAATTAAGTTCATGAACTGGGCAAAGCTATCTCTGTGGCCCCAAGGAGTGGGTTTTCAATGCTTCTTCCCATTCAGTCCAGTCAGAACAGAGATCCAGGATAACAAGGATGGGACCTACTGTGTTTCCTATACCCCAAAGGAGCCTGGGATCTGTACTGTGAGTCTGCATCGAGGAGCAGCATGGATGGGGCTCCCCACTCACCGTGACCGTGGGGAGAAGGCACCGCCCCCACCCGGGAGTGTTTCACTGCTGCACTTTCTGCTCCAGTGGAGGTCAGAAAAATGCATGCTGTGCCCGTGGGGGCACCATGCCAGGTGGGTACCTAGGCTGTGGCCATGGGCACAAGGGCCCCCCAGGGCGGGCGACCCCACTGGTCTTGTTGTGGGAAGTTTATCGAGAAGTCCGAATGCGCAGGTGGGCAGAGTGCACCGCGGAGTCTGCTGTGAACTGTGGCTCTGTGACGGCTTCCAGCGTGGGAAAGCCGTGGATTTCCAGAGGACCCTGGAGCTTCACTCATCCTCAAGAGATGGATAGAATTAAAACCAAGTGCCCTATTTCACCCTAGAGTTCCTCACAGGCTGTACCTGTAGCTGCTGGTGCACACGTCTCCTACAGTCGGTTGGCAGGGCTCCTTCTCTACCATTGGAGGCCCCTGTCTATTTCATACAGGTATAGAAGTATCTGGGCCATTGGAAAGCAGAGGTCATGTGGCTGTGAGAATTTCTTTACTTTCTGATATATTTTAAATTTATCCTTGCTGGGCATGGTGGCACACACCTGTTACCCCAGTACTTGGGAGGCTGAGGCAGGAGGATCGCCATAAGTTCAAGGCCAGCTTGGGCTACATAAGCAAGATAAGGCCAGCCTGCACCACACAGCAAGACCTTGTCTCAAAAAGTAAAAATGATCCCTGACCTGCATATTATTTAGCTACTTTCCCCAGAGAACGGAAACCTCCCCCTGTCCTATCTACTTTGGGCTAGCACATTTTTAGTGGACTTACTGATACACGTTCTGTGACCAATTTAATGTGACTTCCATGTTTCCTGGGTGAGCCCTCTTCATGTACTGTCCCATTCCCTTCACTTATCACCTTGTCACTGTGTGGCAGAGGATACCCGGAAAGTAAAGGGGCAGGAGACTGAAACAGATCTTCGCCTTGCTTTCAGTTGTCATACTGAACGATCTGAATAAGTTCCCTCCTCCCTTCTCTTTGATTTTTAGAATGATCTTTCTTAGTCTATATAGCTAGAAACTTAACTGGCAGCTTTGATGCTTACATGGTGCTTTCTTAGCTGCTAGAGAATTCTGAGAAGCACTGTTACCTCAGGCCTGCTGAGGTCCGCTCTGTGTCTATTTTGTGTGTTATTCTGGGACTCATAATTTCTTAAGTAGTAATAAACTCAGCATGCATCAAAGTTACCAAAATTCAAAAAAAAAATTCATGAACTGAGTTTCCACTGTATATTCCAAATGTGAATTTGCTTTATGATGCTACCTTAAAAGTTATAAGCATCTGTCAGCTCAGAAATGCGTAACTCTTGGACTTGAGAGGACCCCAGAGCAGGTTGCTTTTCACAACAGTTCATCATCCAAGATCTTGTCAGTGTCCCGACTTCACAATGTGTAATCACACCATCCCACTCTACCTGCCAGTGCAAGAAACCGCTAACCTCTGACATCTCAGTGATGAGAGAGATACTCTAAGGAACAAAACTCATAAACTAGCTTTCAGAGTCCCAATGCGTTGCTCATCTGGAACCCTCCTATTGTCAACAGGCTGTAAACTGATATTTTCTTTTCCTTGTGCTAATTTCAAAATTCTTTTTTCTTCCATCCAACTTTCTCATCTCATCTTTCTTTCTCCTAGATTTTAATTTTAGCATTTAAAATTTAATAGATGTTGGTTTACACAGGAATTTTTATTTTTATTTTACTTAATTACTTGATTATTCATAATATTGTTAGAGTTGGCCAAAGGAAGATAAAGCAAAAGATAAAAGTTAATTGTACTTGAATTTGTTTTATTTTGAAGATCTTAAATTATCAGTAAAACTCACATTTAAGTTTGGTTTGCAAAGAATAGAATAAATACAGTATCACATTTTGGTGTTCCAATTTTAACCATGAAAACCTTTAATGTACTTCCAAAGAAATAGCCCCTTAAAACTGAAGTGACTTCCAAAACATTAAAAACAAAACTTTCAATAAATAAAAGTGATTTATTTTCTAAATTTTTTAGAATGACAATAAGTTAATAATCATCAAAGCTACTGGTCCTACATATGAGAAGGATCTACCTATGTAATAAAATGAATGAAATTAACTCCTCAAATAGCACCAGAGAAAATAGATGAGTTTAAGTAAATATTATTCATAAGAAATGGAAATATTGTCTAAAATTGCCAATTCACATGCAATAAGTCTGAAGAGAAGCTGTATTTTTTTTACCTCTGAGTTTATGTCCTACATAAATGAAGAGCAAGATTGATTTTAGGGTGAATACAACCTGGCTTAAGGTCATAAATCATTTTCAAACATGGAACACAAGGAAGATAGTTGGTATAATTCCAGTGTTGACTACAAACCAGACACAGAAGTGCAAAACCTAATTCTGCTGCTATTTACTTAGGTGACCTTGATCAAACCAGTTCACATTTGTAGCTCTCAGGTTTTTCATATCTAAGTAAGAGAGATGGACTAGTGATATCTAGGCTTCTTTTAGGAACAAAATTTCTGTAATTGTTATAAGAATATTAGAAGCATCTGTTTACAAACCATTGATACAATTCATTCTGATCTATTCATTAATTCCAGTCCCTACAGATGAGTAGTGAAGGTTGGCTAGGTGATTTCCAATTACTCCATGTCCTTCATATCACATAATAGCAGTTCTCTAAAAAGATTCAATACACACTCATTTCAGAGTTTCAGACAAGCTTTTCTCCAATTACTGAGGCTCTGTGATAATACAATTGCCTTAGGAAGATTGGATACATGCCCTCTAATCTGTTCATTAAAAAGAAAATGACTAATTTACCGGAGTCTTTCTTCATAATAATTTATCAAAGATCCTACCTGTCATCAACTTGACCTTGTTCTAGAAGACGTTGCCCATCAATAATGATTGAATGCAAAATCTGCTGACGACTGAACATCTCGGCTTGGAACAACTATAATTTCAAAAGAGAAGAATATACTTTATAGTTCCTAATTTTAGCGATTAGTTCTCTGATGACTCTCCAAATATTCTGGGTTTCACAAGGATATAAAAAGTATAGCCAGTTAAAACAGAGTATGTGTGAAATCCTGCAGTGTAGGAATAATTTATCTGTAAATCATCAATTAAGATACGCTTGAAGATAAAATTTACCTTTTGGTTTACTAAATCCAAAGACTAAAAGTAGGTATATTTCCATTCTTTTTTTGCTGAAAAGCACAAAGTAAGGTAACTGAATGTATAATTTGTGTTCTGGTCCTTTTGAATTCACTGTTTTTTGTTTTAATTAACCAAATTATTTCACTAGTAAAACACTCAATAGTAAGGTCTTTCAAATTTTTTTTTTATTTTTAAACTTATTTATTTTTTAATGTATTTGGTACAGGGTCTCACTACGCAACTGGGACTCGGGTAGTGATCTTCCTGTTTTCAGCCTCCTCAGTGCTGGGATTACAAGTACAGACCACTACACCTGGACTCTGTGGCCAGCACAGCCCACCCTGGGGGCGGGGCTGGCATGGCATGTGGTGCCTGGGATGGAACTGCAGGCCCTGCACTTGTCTAAGCTTGCCTAAGCAGGCACTCCAGTCTGTGGAGCTATCTTGCCAGTCCTATTTTTATTAAAACAGCTCAATCACACATTTAAGTATCCAATTTAATGACATTTATTATATTTCAGATTTATACAAATAATATTTCAATCAACTTTATTTTATTTTACTTATTAAATGCATTTGGTTGTTACAGAGTCTCACTACACAGCTCAGACTCATAGTGATCCTCCTGTTTTCAGCCTCCCCAGTGCTGGGATTATAGGTGTACACCACTACGCCCAACTCTGTAGCTGGCTCAGCCCACCCTGGGGTTGGGGCTGGCGTGGCATCTGGTGCCAGGGATTGATCCTCAGTCCCTATGCTTGCCTAAGGTTCCCTAAGCGGGCACTTTAGTCTGCTGAGCTATCTCGCCAGCCCCTGCAATCAACTGTAGAATACTTACATCCCCAGAAAAAGAAACTCCATACTCATCAGCCATTATCCCCCACTTCCTCCCAACTTCTAGCTCTCAGTGACCCTCACGCTACATCCTGTTTCTATGCATTGCCTGTCATGGACATTTTATGGAATCCTGTCCTAGGTGGTCTTTTGTGGTCAATTTTTTCCCTTGACATAACGTTTTCAAGTCTTATTTATCTTATACTACACTTTGGCAGTTTATTCTTTTGGACTTCTCATAAGGCACATTTATTTATCTTTTCACTAGTTGATGGATATCACGGTTGCTTCCATTTTTTGTCTGTAATGAATAATGTCATTGTGAGCATACTTTTATACAAATTTTTGAGAGGACACATTTTCATTTCTCTTAAGAAAATACCTAGAAGTAGAACTACTGGATATTTAGAGTAGCTCCCTGTTTCATATTTTGAGGAACTGCCAAACTGTTTTCTAAAGTAGCTTCATCACTTAATATTCTCATTAGCTGCATAGGGGGTTCCCATCTCCTATACCCTCACCATTGCTGTCTTTCTCACTGCATTTCACTATTCTAATGTGTGTGTGAAATGGTATATCATTATAGTTTTGATCTATAACTTTCAGTTTGTCATTTGTCCATCTAGCAAAACTGGATTTAAAACTATCTTTCAAATGTTTAAATTCTGCATTGTTAAAATTTCAGCAACATGTTTTAAAGTTAATTTCATTCTTAAGTTCTGACATTTTTCTTTTGCTTAAGGTAAGTATTAGACCTCCGTGTTTACTTCATGAACATGTAGAGCAACCCGGCTATGCTCATATATAGCAAAATAGAGAAAAAGAGTTGGCAAATTAATTTACTTTTGTAGATTACATTTTCTATGTTTCCTGAGAAATAGTTATAATGTAGTTTGATCAAGAGATAGACTCGAAGCCTTGATATCTTCATTCCCTTGCATAAAATTAATATTTGCTTTTTTGTGGTCTAGAGATTGAACGTAGGCCTTTACCCTGGGGTGTATCCCTCCCTAGCCAGTATTTTAAAAATTTGAGAAAGGGTTTAAGTTACTAAGTTGCCCTGGTTGGGCTTGAATTTGTGATCCTTGGGCCTCAGCCTCCCAATTTGTTGTGATTATATGCATATTTCACCATGCCTGGCTAAAAGTTCATATATGAGTTTTTTGTTTGATTGTTTGTCTTTGTATTTTAGGACAGGGTCTACAGTGTCTCACTACATAGATCGGACTCATAGTGATTCTCCTGTTTTCAGCCTCCCAAGCTCTGGGATTACAGGCTTGTACCACCACGCCCAGTCTCAATCACTGTATCAGCGCACCTCGGGGGCAGGGCTGGCACAGCACGCTGGGGATCCAAGCCCAGCTGCCACACTCTGCCTAAGCAGGCACTTTAGTCCACTGAGCTATCTGGCCAGCCCTCATATATGCTTTTAAAAGAAAAAATAATTTCATTTATCAGAGACTTTTGATCAGAGCACAGTTACTGAAGCAATTAGCCTTGGCAATATTAATGTAGGCTACAATGCAATTCAAAATTTGTCTAGCCTCCTGCACTCCTTCTACCATTTCCTCTCCCCCAGGCCCTGGCAGTAAATAGCTTTCAATGACAACTCTGTCACCACACATTGCAAGGTATCGATGCCTCACACATGGCTACAACTAATGGTGGAGCAGAGAACTGGGCATAATTTTGTAATCAAGATATCAAAACATGAAGCTTAAGAAAGTTGAAATGATGCATTCATTTGAGCAGAAAAGGTACAGCATTTTGCATTCTCCTATGGCATTTCACAGCACCTCCCACAGACTCGCAACACTTTTGGGACCCTCAGAGCCACTGGCACAACTTACCTCATGCGCCCTCTGCTGTTCCAGGAGATGCTGGTAATTGCCCGAAATCTCTACTGCTAACTTTTGCTCTGTTTGCACCAGGAACTCCATCCATGTCTCACACTTTTCTAGGAAAGTCTGATGTTGTAGCAGAAATGACTGCAACTTGCTGACAGAATGAAGGGCAAGGGAAACAATTATTTGGCTCATTTGTTTGTATCTCTAGCATATATGACTAGATTAAAAGTCCACCAAGTCCAGTTCTCATGCAATAACCACAAGCTCTTAGGTGATGGCATTTTAGGTGGCCACATTAAAAAGAAAATTAGACAAATGTAAGTTTAAAATGTTGCATTTTGAAGTAACTAATAGTATATATCCCTTGAACTCAAATACTCAATTTTTTTTCTGCATTTGAGAAGTTACATCACGATTTACATTTTCCATTTCTAATTCAACTTTAATTTAAAATTATTGGAAAGATCTAGAATTTACAAATATACACAAATGACGAAACTTTACTCTGTGCTCCAAAGTTTAGGGTTAAAATGTTTTATTTTTATTAATTTTATTGAGAAACAAATAGCAATGAGACAATTTCAAACTGATTAATAGGACAGTTTCAATAATTAATACAATGCATATTGTTGTCTTCATAGTGGTTATTCATAGTACAAGACGCAGACATGATATCCTGTTCAAACACTATTAGTACAAATCTTCTCATTGAATTAAGAGAAAGCAGCTGTATATCTATCCTAACTATTTTGTGTACACAAATACAAAATGGTCCTTCATTTGTATCCCCTTTTCTTGTTTAGTTTTGTCAGAGATGGGTATTCCATTGCCATTTAAATATTGTAGGTGCCTGAATTCAGCAAAATAATCCAACATAGTCCAGTAGTCCATAATAGTAGTGGGTTATCCATAGGTCTGTCAGTATCAGAAGTTGCTGACTTGAGCCTTTTATAGCTCAGTATATTAATATAGCTTTACTTTTCATAAGGGTTAAAACTTAATGGCCATTGTCATAGGATTAAAAAAGAACTTAGAGGCAATTAAGGCTGCTACATTTGTGTAGCCCTGTAATCTCACCTATTTAGGAGGATGAGGCAGAAAGATTGAAAGTTTGAAGGTAGCCTGGGTAACTTACCTTGTCTCGATATAAAATTTGTGGAAAGGGCCAGGGATAGATTGGTGTTGGCATGCTTGCCAACAATGCCCTGGTTCAGTCTACATTACCTATCTCTCCCTCAAAAAAAAAAAGAGGCAGTAAGCCACAAGAACTTCCCCTTCATAAAGGGGAAGTTAAGGCATTATAAAGAATCTTCATGCAGGGCCAGTGAGGTAGCTCAGAGGATTAAAGGGCTTGTGTAGGCAAGCTTAGGCAAGTTTAGCCAAGCATAGGGACCGCGGTTCCATTCCTGGCATCACATGCCATGCCAGCCCTGCCCCCAGGGTGGGCTGAACCAGGAACAGATTCCAAGCATGTTGATGCATGCCTGTAATCCCAGAGCTGGGGAACTTGAAAACAGGAGGATCCCTATGACTCTGAGCTGTATAGTGAGACCCTGTAACGGCCAAATACATGAAGAAGGAGAAGGGGGAGGAGGAGGAGGAGGAGGAGGAGGA